AGTTTGAACTAACCAAAGGAATATACGCATGCGCTCTTTGTGCTCGACACGCAATCTTTTCGTGTGACGAGTCCAAAGAGCATCTAGCCTGTATGCATAGAAATCGGCAAGTATAAAATCTCTTTCGTCTCATCGCATTTGAAACAGATGGTTTAATAGACCAATAAAATTCAGCCTTGAACAATAGACCTCAGTACGAAGCTGTGGGGTATGTCTACAGAGTTTGTGGAGTTTATTCCTCAGAGCCTCGTGCTGAGGTCTATTGTGTTAGGCTGAATTTTTTAATATATCGAAAGTGTGCTATTCTTGGCAGCCAAAGTACAATTCATCAAGCACGTGCCTAATTTGGTTAGTGCGTGTTTTCATATCAAAGTGCTTGCCGGGATAGGGTATTTTCCCTGGACATCTTTTATACAGTTCCAATTCCCTCTGCACGGAAGTTCGTTCTTCAGCGACAGGCGCTATTTATCTGTTAATTCCGTTGTGAGTTCTACGCTCCCATCTACAAGGATACATACAAGACACTTTCCGCTAACTGGATCGATCACGGGCAGTTCTGGACTCGTTCTATTATCCTTAGAAGTGTGAACTACGATTGCCAATCATGATCCCATCTAAAGATGACGTCTTGAAGATGCCGGCTTTAAAGACACTGCGACGAATGAAAAAAAGTTCAAGAAATTGCTGCAATCAGAGCCCAGGTGATTTTCAGATCTTTGTCTTCTGTTAGTGAACAATTTACGCAGAGACGTCGGCTGCATGTGTTCTGCCAGCGAAATGTATGGATTTGTTGACATGCCAGCTTTGTATTTGATACGGTACGCGAACTCATATTGTTCAAGCCTGAAGAAATAATTACTGGCTAAATGTCCAGCTGTAGCTACAATTGTAGTTCTAAAGGCTGTCGGTAAGGCACGATACTTGGAATCAACAATCCACTTGTGTATATGTAAGCATAAAGCCATAAAGTGCGGAACGATTTCCGAGAATTCAGTCAGTCGACCGTGAGACGTTTCTAAGAAAATGACCCGATTATAGATATTTTTATTGGAGACAATTCATTCGTTTGTGTACGATTATGCGTGCATTTCTTCTAGCCGTAAGTGAGGCCCGATGCGTCGAAATCACTACATTCTGCAAAGGAAACAGAAATTCGGCTCCATACTTATGAAGCAAGACAAGTTTAATTAAAAGAAGGTTCAGAAACCATACAATTTAAGCCGTTAGCTACGTATTTTGCGGCGAGTCAAACTCAAAACTTTTCGCTGAAAGTGATCCGTGGCTAGTTAGAACAAACTCTAACAAATCTAGACCACGATTATTCTCTTACCTTACACCGGCGTTTTCCAACATAATATCGCTCATAAATTGCCTAAAGTCGTTCCGGTTGAAAATCGGCAATTTTGCAGCCAGAGATGAAGAAAAACGCTGACATAATTGAAAGCGCCAAAGCCGCGGAGTTTATTGGTTTTCCAAATTGCAATTAGAGTCTAGAGTGAAACACTGATGGATCAGTTCTACCTGTCCTACTCTGATGCTACTAATAACGGTATTATAGGAATTAAATGCCCAGCAACGATTGGTAAACAAGTTGTGTCCTTATATACTGAACAGGTCACCAAAGGGCGTGTTTAAAACACGGAATGGCGAAATGACGAACTTCACTACGGTTAAAACTCAATCTGGAAAACAGGCGTCTCTAGGGATTAACCCTTACAACTATTGAGAGGTAACCACTGTCGAGTCAGTGATATTTAAGCTAACCGTAGTGCCATTTTGCGATTTAGTCAGTGTTTTAAACACGCTCGTCACCACAGCAGCTGTGTAACATGTTAAAGTGAGTGAGTGAGTGAGAACTTTATTAAAGTGTCAAAAACCTTGTAGCCTGGAAATAATACACCATAATAATTAGGGGACACTGCTAAAAACTATACTAATACTAAGATTAATAAAATTAAAAAATAAATGACTTGAAGGGCATTATGTGCAGCATAGGATTCAGCCCTTACAGCCGGTGTCCATTAAGCGAGTTATATCCCTTTTGCGAATACAGTTTGTAAAAGCCTGCAGTGTCTTGGCTGATCTGTCAGCCATAGACAGTTTGTCCCATAATTTGGGTCCTACATAACGCAGAGAGTGCTTCCCATAAGTAACAGTGTTGTTTCTAGGGGTAGAAAAATCTGATTGTCTCAGGTTGTATGCAGAGATATGCAACAACCTTAACTTTCGATTTATGTGCTTTGGCTCAAAACAAGCTTTTCGACCATATATTTTTGTTATGAAATAGTAATATGCAGTAACCGAAATTGAAAGTAGTTCAAAGTTTAAAAACGCTCGTGGAGGGGTGGTTAAGAGCCACCGTAAATTTCGAAAATTTAAGATGGCCTTGAACCCTCCACAGAATTATTTCAACTTTACAAAAAGTTGTATTTTCGTAGCATGCTTAAAGTTAAAGAGCCGGTTGTACTGTTGTTATGTTAACTTATCGCATCATGATGATTACCATATCTTGTTCACCAATGATCGGCCATTTGTGTGATACCGATATTGCAACATTACTTTTGTACGGCCTTAAGACGACACGTATAAAAAGGCACTTCGGCTTAATGTTTGTTGTTGTCGCCGTTTTTTTAAGGGGGGTTCATACAAATGCATTGAGTAATGATTGTTGTCTTTGTCTTTGTACCTAAGTGGCAGTTACTCGTACTAAATCGAATGAAATAACCAATCTGAGTGGTCTCGTCACCTCCAAATTTAGCTTTTCCGTCCAACTGAGCATTTACATATGCGTACTCATTTGCATACACGTAGTTCTTAGGATTGTTTTTTACGGCTTAGTTATTTTATTAGTTATTTTATTTTACCCCTGTTTTAAAATTATTGTAAAGCGCTATTGGATAGCGACAGAAATAGCGAGATATAAATAAAGTATTATTATTATTACTTGGCAAAATAACCCATATTAATATAGATAATCCATATTAGTTTTTGTATCGTCGTGCGCAATGCGTAGGTGTCCAACAGAGTGATTCTTAAATTTTTAAAAAAGTTCACATTGGACACGAAATTGATCGTTCTTCAATTTTCTAAGAATTGAGCACGTGGATAACTAATCAGAAAGAAGAGACTTATAGCTAAAACTATATTTATGGTTACAAACATTGCAGGTTTCTCTTGGACTAATCTGAGTAACAATGCAACAACTTACGGGATGATAAAGGAAACGAAGGAAGGTGACGAGAACTGCAGTTTGAGAAATCATGATGAGGACAAGTACGATGATGATCAAAACAATCATAGTGGTTGTAACAACGAGTATTATGATGTTACCATATATTTTGCTGCTGTTAGAGTAGTTCTCGTTGTTTCTGCTGGGTACGCGATTGTTATTGTTGTTGTTGTTGTTGTTGCTGTTGTTGTTGTTGGTGGTGGTGCTGTTGTTGTTGCTGTTGTCGTCATTGCTTTAGCTGCTGCTTTCGTCGTTGTAGTAGTGACTGTTATCTTCGTTGGTGTTGCTGTAGCCGCTGGTGGTGGTGGTGGATCTGGTTGTTCTGGTGGCGGCTTTACTAGTAAGAGTGGCAGCATTGGCAGCAGCGGCGACATTGTTGGTAATTGTGGTAGTGGTGACAATGATAATGGCCGTGATGGCATTGATGTAGGTGATTTTGATCATCATTGTTGCTATTGTGATGATGATGATGATGATGATGATGATGATATTAATA